TAGTGTATAGAAATACAATTGACTTCTGTATATTTATCATGTATCCTGCAACCTTGCTGTACTTACTAGTTTTCTAGTAAGTTTTTTTTGTGTGTCTGTATGGATTCCTTAGAATTTTTAATATACATTATGTCATCTGTGAATAAGTATCACATTACTTCTTCCTTTCCAATATGAATGCTTTTTATTAACTTTTCTTGCCTAATTGCCCTAGTTAGAACTTTCAGTGAGCAAAGTGTTAAGAGTGGACAACTTATCTTGTTCCTGATCATATGGAGACAGCTTTCCATATTTTATCATCAAGTAATTTGTTACAGCTGGGAGTGGTGGTGCAAGTCTGTAATCCCACACTTTGGGAGGCCAAGGCAGGTGGATCACATGAGATTAGGAGTTTGAAACCAGACTGGCTAACATGGTGAAACCCTGTTTCTACTAAAAATACAACAAATTAGCTGGACATGGTGGTACGCACCTGTAATCTCATCTACTTGGGAGGCTAAGGCACGAGAATCACTTGAACCTGGGAAGCGGAGGTTGCAGTGAGCCAAGATCATGCCATTGCACTCCAGTTTGGGCAACAAGAGCAATACTTTGTCTCAAAAAATAAAAAGTAATATGTTACTTAATGATGCCTTTATCACATTGAGAAAGTTCTCTTCTATTGATAGTTTGTTGACTGTTTTTATCATGAAAGGGTGTTGGATTTTGTCAATTGCTTTTTTGTTTCTACTGGGATGATTATGTGGTTTTGCCCTTCATTTTATTAATATATTGTATTATATTAACTGATTTTCAAACTGATTTTCAAAACCAACATTGCATGTCTGGAATAAATTCCAATTGATCATGGTGTATAATCCTTTCATGTTTTTAGATATGTTGGTTAGTATTTTGTTGAGGATTTTTACATCTGTATTTATAATAGATACTAGTTTGTGTTTTTCTTTCTTGTGATGTTTTTGTTTGATTTTGGTATCAGGGTAATAATTGCCTTACAGAATAAGGAATGTTCATTAAAAATGTTCCCTCCTCCTCTATTTTCTGAAAAACATTTGTTACAAACAAAAATACATTTATGCTTTCATATTTACCTATATATTTACAGTACTCTATTCACATTATTCTTCACGTAGATTTTTTTTAGAGTATTTTGAGAGTATTTTTTAAAGAGACAAAAGAAGAAAGAAAAAGAGAGAAAGAAAAAAGAATAAGAGAGAGAAAGAAAGAGGAAGAGAAAGAGAGAGAGAGAATGGGAATCTTGCTCTATTACCCAGGCTAGAATGCCATCTAAAAATGGGTATTAAAAACCTCTTTTATGCCAATAAATGTGCTTAACAATGGAGACAGGGAGGAATAAGGGAGGAAAATAATAAACAAGCAGCCAACCAATATTTCATTTAAACCTGTGAAATGCTATGCAATTGCTGAGGATTGTTTTATTTCCAATTTTGTGGTCACTTTTAGAATAGGTGTGATGTCATACTGAGAAAAATGTATGTTTTGTGGAATTGGGGTGGAGAGTTCTGTAAATGCTTATGAAGTTTACTTATTTCAGGTCTGAGTTCAAGTCCTGGGTATCCTCATTAATTTTCTGTCTCGTTGATCTGTCTAATATTGACAATGTAGTGTTAAAGTCTCCCACTATCATTATGTGGGAGTCTAAGTCTCTTTGTAAGTCATTAAGAACTTGCCTTATGTATCTGGGTGCTCCTGTATTGGGTACGTATATATTTAGGATCGTTGGCTCTTCTTGTTGCATTGATCCTTTTGCCATTATGTAATATACTTCTTCGTCTCTTTTGGTCTTTGTTGCTTTAAAGTCTATTTTATCAGAGACGAGAATTGCAACTACTGCCTTTTTTTTTCCTCCCTCCATTTGGTTGGTCAATCTTCCTCCATCCCTTTGTTTTAAGTCTTTTTGTATCCTTGCATGTGAGATGGGTCTGGATGCAACATACCAATGGGTTTGGCTTTTTATCCAATTTGCCAGTCTGTGTCTTTTGATTGGAGCATTTAGTCCATTTAAATTTGGCATTGATATTGATATATATGAGTTTTATACTGCCATTTAATGTTGGCTGGCTGTTTTGCCCATTAGTTGATGTAAATTCTTCATTATGATGATGCTCTTTACCTTTCAGTCTATGTTTTTGAAATGGCTGATACTAGTTGTTCCTTTCTATGTGTAATGCTTCTTTCAGAAGCTCTTGTAAAGCAGGCCTGGTGGTGATAAAATCTCTGAATACTTGCTTGTTCGCAAAAAATTTTATTTTTCCTTCACTTATGAAGCTTAGTTTGGCGGGATATGAAATTCTGGGTTGAAAGTTCTTTTCTTTAAGGATGCTGAATATTGGCCCCCACTCTCTTCTTGCTTGTAGGGTTTCTGATGAGATATCTAATGTGAGTCTGATAGGCTTCCCTCTGTGGGTAACCTGACCTTTTTCTCTAGCTGCCCTTAGTATTTTCTCCTTCATTTCAACCCTGGTGAATCTAATGATTATGTGCCTTGGGGTTGCTCTTCTTGAGGAATATCTTTGTGGTGTTCTCTGTATTACCTGGAGTTGAGTATTGTCATGCCTTGCTAGGTTGGGAAAGTTTTCCTGGATAATATCCTGAAGAGTATTTTCCAGCTTGGATTCATTCTCTCTGTCACATTCAGGTACACCTATCAAACGTAGATTAGGTCTTTTCACATAGTCCCATATTTCTTGGAGACTTTGCTCATTCCTTTTTAGCCTTTTTTCTCTAAACTTGTCTTCTCATTTTATTTCATTAGGTTGGTCTTTGACCTCTGATATCCTTTCTTCTGCTTGATCAATTCGACTTAAAACTTGTGTATACTTCAGGAAGTTCTTGTACTGTGTTTTTCAGCTCTATTAATTCACTTATATTCCTCTCTAAATTGTCTATTCTCGTTAGCATTTTGTCAAACCTTTTTTCAAGGTTCTTAGTTTCTTTGTATTGGGTTAGAACATGTTCTTTTAGCTCACAGAAATTTCTTATTATCCACCTTCTGAAGCCTGATTCTGTCAATTCATCACACTCATTCTCCATCAGGCCTTATTCCGTTGCTGATGAGGAGCTGCAATCCCCTGTAAGAGGAGAGACATTCTGATTTCGGGTATTTTCAGCCTTTTTGCGCTGGTTTTTCCCATCTTTGTGGATTTACCCACCTATCGTCTTTGTAATTGCTGATTTTCAGATTGGGTCTGAGTGGACGTCCAGCATGTTGGTGATGAAGTTTTTTCTGTTTCTTAGTTTTCCTTCGGCAGATGCCCCTCCCCCACAGAGATGGACCTTCCTGGGTTCAGCTGTGCTTGCTGTGAAACTCTCAATCTTCAGCGCTTCCAATTGTTGTTTTTTTGTGGGGGCACTGCGCCGGCTGAAATAGCAGTGTTGAGATTCATGGCGCTTTTCTGCCCGGGAATCTCCCGGTCTGGCTCCCCGCTTCAGTCCCCACTTTAATCAGCTGAATGGGCGATTGTGCCTTCCTGGAGCTCCAAATGCCAACTAAAAGGCAATTCGTCCCGTATACTCTGTATTGAGAACCTCTGCATGGCAAATCAGCTGCGCAGGCCAAAAGAGTTGCGCTGGTGACCCGCAGGGCTCCTCCGCCGGGAATCTCCTGGTCTGTGGGCAACAAAAATTCGTCTGGAAGTGTGGTGTTCACTCACTCTCTGCGCTTTCATTGGGAGCTACAATCTTGAGCTGCTGCTAATCGGCCATCTTGGATCTCTCTCCCCCTCTTCAGGTAGATTCTACTTACTGTCCAGTGTCCCCTTATTTAAGCTTGAAGGACTCCTTTTAATGTAGGGCAATTATGCTAATGACAAATTCTTTTGACTTTTGTTTACCTCAGTATGTCTTAAATTCTCCTTCATTCTTAGAGAATAATTTTGCTGTACAAAGAATAACTGGCTGGCAGAGGGATTTTATGTTATCCCTCTGCCTTTTGGTGTCCTTGGTTTCTGATGTGAAATCAGCTGTTAATTTTACTGAGAATTCCTTATATGTAATGAATAGCTTCTCTCTTGGTGCTTTCAAGACTTTTTGTCTATATTTATTGGGAAGTTTATTATGATGTGTCGAGATATAAACTTCTATGAGTTTATTCTATTTAGAATTCATTGAGTTCCATCTATACATAGGTTAATGTTTTTCATCAAATTTGGGAAGTCTTCTGCCATTGCTTCTTCAAATATCCACTTTCACCCCTTTTTCTCTCTCTCCTTGCTTTCTGGGACTATCATTATGCACATGGTAGCATGTATAATAGTGTTGCACAGATCTCAGACTCTGTCATTTTTCTTCTCCCTGTTCTTCAGTCTGGATAATCTGAATTGACCTATCTTCAAGTTTGCTGATACTTTCTTCTGCAAGCTCAAATCTGGTGTTGAGTCTCTCTAGTGATGTTTTCAATTGAGTTCTTGCATTTTTTAACTCCGGAATTTCTATTTGCTTCTTTTTTATATGTTTAATTCCTTTACAGATTCTATTTGATGAGACATAATTCCCACACTTTCTCTTAATTCCTTAGCAATGGTTTCCTTTAGTTCTTTGAACATATTTAAATAACTGTTTTGAAGTCTTTGTCTAGTACGTCCAATAGCCAGTATTCCTTAGAGACAGCTGCTTTTTACTCTTTTCCCCATTTATGAACCATACTTACTTGCCATATCTCATAATTTTGTTAAAGACTGGACATTCAAAATAATATAATGTGACAACTCTAAAAATGAGATTATGTCCCCTATCAGGGTTTGTTTCATTGCTGTTTGCGTAATTACTTTCCTGAATTAATTCTGTAAAGTCTGTAGTCTTGGTCATGTGTGGCAGTGAAATCTCTGGTTAGCTCAGTTGTCAGCTAATAATTGGTGAGAGATTTCCTTAGATGCTTTGAACCACTATATATCCTAGCCTTTGCTCCCTTTGGGAAAGGGGGTCTATATGCATGCTGAAGCATACCTCTAACATGTTAAGCAGGCAGTTTAAAACCCTACCTTAGTCTTTACTTTCTGCCAGCATAATGCGTCAAAGCTAAACAAGGATGAGGACTGTGAGCTTTCTTAGGTCTTTCCTGGTGTTTCCTATTGCTCCTGTAACAAATTCACCAAAAGTTAGTTTACCACAAATGCGGTGGCTTAAACAACACAAATTTATTCCCTTATAGTTCTGGAGGTCTAGTCTAAAATCAAAGTGTGAACCTGGAGGACATTATGCTAAGTGAAAAAAGCCAGACACAGAGATGCAAATCCCATATAATCTCACTTAGACTGCAAGTGGAATCTAATTCAGAGTAGAACAATAGTTGCCAGAGGCTGGTGGGGAGGGCGGGAAAGGAAATAGGGAGTTGTTAGTAAACAGCGCAAAGTTTCAGATAGACAGGAGGAATGTTTTGAGATCTACTACACAGTAGGTTGACTAAAGTCAGTAAGAATGTATTGTATATTCCAAAATAACAGAGTAAATTTCAAATGGTTCACCACAAAAAATAAGTGAGGTGATAGAAATGTTATTAGCCTGGTTTAATCATTCCACATTGTATACATATATCAAAACATCACATTGTACCCCATAAATGTATATAATTATGATTTGTACATTAAAAATAATATTAATTAAAACAAAGGTGTTAGTAGGGCTGCATTCCTTGTAGAAGCTTCAGGGAAGAATCCACCCCTTACCTTTATTCCAGCATCTACAGCCACCTTCATTCCTTAGCTAATGGCCCCTTCTCACATCACTCCATCCTCTTCCTTCCATCATCATATCTCCTACTTCCAACTGTGATCCTCCCACCTCTCTCTTATAAGGGCCTTTGTGATTATTCCAGGTCTACTCAGATAATTAAGATATTGAATTTAATTTAATCACATCTGCAAAGTTCCTTTTACTAGGTAGGGTTACACAGTAACAGGTGAAAATAGTTATTGCTGAAGGGCTATTTCAGGCAGCCAAGGAACATAAAATTCAGGTCATCAGAAAATGAAACAGAAGGCAGAGCTTTATGCTAGTACCAAGCCAGCATCACACTAATGTGATATGTTAGAGATAATTCAAAAATGTCATAATTCAACAACTAAAATGAACAAGAGAACAGCTGAGAACAAGGGGGAAATGACATTGGAGAGGAGGATAGAGATGTGTGGTCTTCAGGTTTGAAAGGCAATAGCTAATAGGGGTTATGAACAAATAATATACAAATATTAAAAAGCATAGATAGGGTACATTGTTACTTTTCATAACGAGGGAGGAATTTATGAGATTCCATGCCCCGAGGAATTGTAAAATAAAATACAATATAAAAAGAGTTCTAAAACTTCAAAGATACTTACTCCAAAGTAATTTAAAGAAACTGTGATCGACTGAACTGTGTTCCCTCAAAATTCCTATGTAGAAGGCCTGACCCCCAAAGTGGGTTAAGTGAGGTCATTAAGGTGGGGACCTAATTTGATAGAACTTGTGTCCCTACAAGAGATGCCAGAGATCTCTTTCTCTCGTTTGTATACAGAGGAGACACTATGTGAGGACACAGTGAGAAGGTGGCTGTCTACAAACCAGGAAGAGAGGCCTCACCAGAAACCAACCCTGAGGGCTACTTGTGAACTTCTATCTTCTAGAACTGTACGAAAATAAACTTTTGTTTTAGCCACCAAATCTGTAGTGTTTTGTTCTAGAAGCCCTACCTGACAGTAACTTGAGATATTTTGGTGGACCTCTCTAGTATCATGAGATTGCTATCAGGAAAATCATCTCTTCTCAAGAAAATACTAGTTGGTTTTAGTGTTAAACTCAGTAGGAGTATTCGTTCACTTAATCATATGAAAAATATTCAAGTTCAGTGTTAGGATGTAGAATTTGTGTGTATAGGTATGTGTGTGCAGTATACTGGGGGTGAGTACAAAGATGGATAACATGTGAACTCCTAAACATTATCACAATATTGCATGCAGTAACTAATTTTTTTTTAATAAAGCCTGAACACAAAGTGAAGAATTCTACCTCATTATTCTGAGGTAGAAAGTATACAGCATGGTTCTCCATCTCAGCACTACTGACTTTTGGACCAGATGATTCTTTGTTGTGGAGGGCTATTCTCTGACCTCTACCCATTAGATGCTAGCAGCCTCTTTCGCACATTTTATTAGTCCCCTAGAGGACATCTAGCAACGTTTCAGAGACATAAAGCCAGCAACATAGGGTCACACACTTTTTTAAGCATCGTAATTAAAAATATTTTATGTGTTATGTATTTTTATATATTTTATATTTTTTCCTGAGATACCTGGGCAGAGTTAGAATAATAAAGAGAATTACAGAGGATGTGTGAGAAAACTTGCTTTAGGTGGAATTTCCTGAAGGTGTACAAGTAAAGACATTTCTTAAAGGAGGAAAAAGATGGAACCTGTCCTCAGCTCACGACAGCCTTCCTTCAGGTTCATATTGATCCACGAATATTCAGTAAATGCCTACTATGTTCCAGGCACTACACAACAGGCATAGTTCTTAGTGCTGGGAATACAATAAAGAATAAAACTTCCAACACTTTCTGCCCTCATAGAGCCTACATTCTCACGGGGGTGCAAGGGAGGGTGAGGGGTGTGAGGAGAACCACAAACAATAGAAATAAAATATGTAATATAATATATAGTACTAAGTGCTATGGAGAAAAATAAAACCAGAAACAAGGACTGGGTGTGCCGCGTAAACGGATTCAGTTTAGAGAGATAATGGAAAGTCTCACTGAGCTGGTAACATCTGAACAAAGATATCTGGTCCTCACTACTGAGAAAGGGGTCCTTTGCCGATCTTTGGAAACACTTCTGCCTAGAACCATCCCATATTGTTTTTCTCCTTGTGTTCCCAGCGCCGGTACAGTAACAGAGCTGCCACCAAGTACTGAGTACCGAGTCCCTCTCCAACCAAGCACTGTGCCAGGGGCTCCCCAGACACAACGTTAGTCCAAAGCTCGGGAGATGCATGTTACTCTTCCCAATTTTTAGAGAAGAAAGTCAGTCGCCTACAGCATATGTTCTTATCAAGCGGCTAGAAAGAGGCAGAGCCGGGTTCCCACCCAGGTCTTCCTCGACTCCGAAACCACATGGAGGCGGCTCTGCAAAAGCTGTTAAACGCACAAGCCAACAAAGAGCAACGCCCGGCGCGTGCCAGGCCCCGAGCAGGGGAGGCGAACGCCGCGCCTCCCACCTCCCGTTGGCGCGACAGAGGGCACCTGTTCAGCTAGGGCCTGCAGCCCCTCGGCCAGAGCGGCTCTCCGGTCTCCCAGATTTACCTGTTGAGGCGCTGGCGTTGCTCCCACGCCGGTCCCGGTGGCTGCACCCGCCCCTGCTACAGCCCCGGCTACCGCGGTGGCCGCCGCCGCTACCACAACAGTCGTCAGGGCGGCCATGTTTACCCGCCAGGCAACTGGGGCCGGCGGCCACCAGTCCCTGGGAGATTAGTGCCCGGCGCACCGGGCCTCTGCGTACCGCTCCCAGCGCTGCGGGCTTGGCTGGGAAGCAGGGCGGAGCCGAGATGCAGGGCGGTGCCGGGATGCAGGGCGGAGCCGAGATGCAGGGCGGTGCCGGGATGCAGGGCGGGGCCGAGATGCGGGGGGTGAGGGGGTGTGGGACTGCGGGATGGGCGGGACCGGGGTGCAGGGCGGGGCCGAGACGCGAGGCGGTGGCCGGGATTTAAGCCGGGAGGGGAGGGGTAAGGGAAAGACAGGGTGCTTGCAGGGAAGGGGCAGGGTTGGTATTCTGGGGCGGACGGCTGTGAGGGAGGGGGCGGGGGCGGGGGCTTCGTTTTGCCCTGTCGCGGGTTTGTAGAACCTTTGGGTACTTAATCCACTCTGTCAGCCTAGTCCCAAATCTGTCAAGAAAATTTATTGTCTTACATTGTCCTTAAATTCTATTTGTGTTATAGTCTATACATATATATATATATATATTTTTTTTTTTTTTAACCCAATATACATCCGCTTTCTAGGTTTCTACGTAGCGCTGCTGAGACTGAGTCTAAATGAAAAAATTATCAATAGGTATTGTGCTAAATGCATTTCTGCTGAATTTTTACTTTGGCCATTCATTAAGCCAAGTCATCATTAACACCTGCATGATTAAAGAAAAGCACAAACTCAAAAATAGCAAGAACTATCCCATAGCAGTGTTGTGCTGATACCATAAAGTAGTTTTTTGTTTGTTTGTTTTTAAGGTATCCTTTCCTACTCTTTTCCTACCTCTCTACCCCAGGCCTCCTTACACACGGGTCATTCTTTATACTCCTAGTTACACTTCTTTTTTTTTTTTTTCTGAGTTGGAATATCGGAGCCTCTCTCCGTGGCCCAGGGTGGAGTGCAGTGGCGTGTTCTGGGCTCACTGCAACCTCTGGTTCCCTGGTTCAAGTGATTCTCCTGTCTCAGCCTACCGAGTAACTGGGATTACAGGCACTCTCCACCACGCTCAGCTAATTTTTTGTATTTTTGGAAGAGTCCAGGTTTCACCATGTTGGCCAGGATGGTCTCAATCTCCTGACCTCATGGTCTGCCAGCCTCTGCCTCCCAAAGTGCTGGGATTACAGGCGTGAGACACCGCGTCCGGCCAACTAGTTATACTTTCAAAGTTAAGTTTAACTGTTTCGTTGTGCTTATCAGCATTGCATGTCTTTTTCAAATGAACCTGAGAATTATGTCTTCCTTCTATAAAGGCACTGTTGCTATTGAAAGTACTTTGAGGTTTGATGCAGAAACCACTTTTATGACCATAATTGTTACTAACCTATTCATTAAAGGATCAATGATCCATAAGCTTCACACTTGTCCAGAAACAGTCAATAGTTAAATATTTTAAGAAATTGAAAGACCTAAACAAAACTAATAGACTAGAGAGTTTAGAAACATGCTGTGAACCAATGTTTTAGAAATAATTCACTGTGTAAAATTAAATTAGTTTAACTATAAAAATTAAAAGGTGATATTTTCACTTAACAATAAAACTCTCAATCAAATGCCATGAAAAGATGCATCTTACACTGGTGCTTGATATACATTTTAGGTAATTTTTTGATCCTTTATTCATCAACTTGGATATTAACAAAATTCAATTTCCTATAACAGTAATTCTTCAAATTTTTAAAACCAGTTTTAAACAGAGGTGTAGAAATGAAAGACAGCCACAGTTCTAAGTATTTGTTTTACTGTGATAGATAAGTGAATAAAATAGATTCTAAAGACTGGAAAATTCCACAATGGACTAGCAATGCCTAGTAGCTCATCAATGAAGCAAATTCAGTAAGTTAATCTGATCATGCCCAATTCCCCCTTACCTACTAACACTTTTCAATATATAAATAATACAGTTATAATGATATTCTTGCTAGGCACAGGCCACAAAATTTGTATGACTTGCAGCAGCCAAGAAGTAGAGTTCATATATTATGAGGTTGGCCTGAATTTCCTCACTGCTGTGATATAATGGATAGTACCAACTCCAGGAATTCATAGAACATGGATGGATACATGGGGAACCAAACCAAGACTGAATAAGTTAAACGATTAGTTCATTCAAGGAGCACTCTTCAATTGCCTACCAGGCATGTGTCAGTTAAATACAGCTCAGGGAGCACTAGCTTGTTTCTTTAAAAGTTCAACTCAGGAAACATTTATCCTATTGGAAAATGAGGATCTTCCCTGTATGAAGGACTGACTCTGGGTTAAAAGTTAATAATAAATCAGCAAATTTTGTTACCAAAAAAAAATTATCAATAGGTTCTAACAATAAATCTTATTTTACATTTTTAAATAAAACTCAGCATGCTCCACAGAACCAGATATCAGAAGCAGGAATGCCACAGTTGCATTCCTAGGACTTGGTCCATGAGAGGACAGATTCCAAAAACACAGTGCTGAGAAGTTGGGGAAAAAAAGCCATAGATGACTCCTTCAGTCAAGGCAACCTATGAAAATTGAGTTGATTTCTGTAGGTACTACCTTTTCCCCCTTTACAAGAATCAGTTCATTCAATCAGTATGGAGCTCTTACCATATGTCAGGCAGTGTTCTAGGCCTCGGGAATTCAGTGTTGAATTAGAAACACGGGTAAGGTTCCTTCTATTACTTCTAGTAGGGAGTTTAAATAAGTAAACCAATAGGTATTTACTGAGCAATTCCTTTGTGCCAGTGCTGTTATAAGTACTTTATGTGCACTTTCAAATTTAATTCTCACAAATAACTTAGTGACGTAGGTACTATTATCATCTCCATTTCAGTGATAAAGTTAAGGATCACAAGGCCACACAGTTAGAGGGTAGGATACCTATCTAGGCAGGCTGACTCCGAAGACCATCCTGGTAGAGACACTAAACAGGCAGCTGGATAAATGCCTCTGGAGCCCAGGAGAGAGCCAGCTACAGATACGAATTTGGCCTTCATACAGAAAATATTTGAAATAAGACTGAGCTCACCCAGGGAGAGTATAAATTGAAGTCTGAGAACGAAGCCTAGGGCCCTCAAGATGGTGACCACAGACAAGAGGAGAAGAGGACCAGGATGGAGAGATCTGCAAGCAGGGAGGAAAACCAGAAGTCTGTGGAGGGATGAAGTTTTTCAAGAAGAGAATGGTCAGCTGTGTGGTTCACTGCCCAGAGGCTGAGTGAGAAGGGAGAAATGATGGTTGCATTTGGCAACAGGGAGGCTGTGGGCCACCCTGGCAAGAGCAGTGCTGATGGGGTGGGGAGACCAAAGCCTGGCTGACTGCATTGAGGAGATAATTGAGGTGATGAAGTAAAAACAGTATATTTTCACCACGATTTTGATTGATTTTGTGGTGCAGGTGATCAGATAAATGAAATGGGAGCTGGAGGAAGATGTGTGATCAAAGAGAATCATTGTGGTTGTGTTTCAAGGTGGGGACTAGTAGAAGGAGTTTTTCATGCTGCTGGGAATGATCTAGTGAAGACAGAAGACAAATTTTTATTTTATTGTACTTTGGGTTCTGGGGTACATGTGCAGATCATGCAGCATTGTTGCGTACATCATGCATGGCAATGTGGTTTGCTGCCTCCATCCCTCCCGTCACCTATACCTGGCATTTCTCCCCATGTTATCCCTCCCCAACCTCCCTACCCACCTCTATTCCTCCCCAACAGACCTCAGTGTGTGAAGCTCCCCTCCCTGTGTCCATGTGTTCTCATTGTTCAACATCTGCATGTGAGTGAGAACATGTGGTGTTTGATTTTCTGTTCTTGTGTCAGTTTGCTGAGAATGATGGTTTCCAGATTCATCCATGTCCCTACAAAGGACTTGAACTCATCATTTTTTATGGCAGCATAGTATTCCATGGTGTATATGTGCCACATTTTCCTTGTCTATTCTATCATCGATGGGCATTTGGATTGATTCCAGGTCTTTGCTATTGTAAACAGTGCCGCAGTGAACACACATGTTCATGTGTCTTTATTTTTTTTTTAATTTTTTTAAATTTTTCATTGCATTTTAGGTTTTGGAGTACATAAGCAGAACATGCAAGACAGTTGCGTAGGTACACACATGGCAGTGTGTTTTGCTTCCTTTCTCCCCTTCACCCACATTTGGCTTTTCTCCCCAGGCTATCCCTCCCCACCTCCCCTCCCACTGGCCCTCCCCTTTTCCCCCCAATAGACCCCAGTGGTTAGTACTCCCCTCCCTGTGTCCATGTGTTCTCATTCTTCATCACCCGCCTATGAGTGAAAATATGCGGTGTTTCATTTTCTGTTCTTGTGTCAGTTTGCTGAGGATGATGTTCTCCAGATTCATCCATGTCCCTACAAACGACACAAACTCATCATTTCTGATTGCTGCATAATATTCCATGGTGTATATGTGCCACATTTTTGCAATCCAGTCTATTATCAATGGGCATTTGGGTTGATTCTAGGTCTTTGCTATTGTAAACAGTGCTGCAATGAATATTCGTGTACGTGTGTCCTTATAGTAGAACAATTTATAGTCCTTTGGATATATACCCAGTAATGGGATTGCTGGATCATGTGTCTTTATAATAGAACAATTTATAATCCTTTGGCTATATACCCAGTAATGGGATTGCTGGGTCAAATGGAATTTCTATTTCTAGATCCTTGAGGAATCGCCACACTGTCTTCCACAATGGTTGAACCAATTTACACTCCCACCAACAGTGTAAAAGTGTTCCTATTTCTCCACATCCTCTCCAGCATCTGTTGTCTCCAGATTTTTTAATGATTGTCATTCTAACTGGCGTGAGATTGTATCTCAATGTGGTTTTGATTTGCATTTCTCTAATGACCAGTGACGATGAGCATTTTTTCATGTTTGTTGGCCTCATATATGTCTTCTTTTGAAACGTGTCTGTTCATGTCCTTCACCAATTTTTGACTGGGTTTGTTTGTTTTTTCTTGTAAATCTGTTTTAGTTCTTTGTAGATTCTGGATATTAGGCCTTTGTCAGATGGGTAGAGTGGAAAATTCTTTTCCTATTCTGTTGGTTGCCAGTTCACTCTAATGATCATTTCTTTTGCTGTACAGAAGCTCTGGAGTTTAATTTGGAGATCCCATTTGTCTATTTGGGCTTTTGATGCCAATGCTTTTGGT